AAACGTTTACTATAAAAGTGACAATTCATATTCATTATTTAAAAATCAAAGAATACAGAATTTTATTGTTTTTAAAATCTACACAATTACAATTGTGTAGAAAGTTCTACATAATTTCAAATGTAAATTCTTTTTAATAGGATCAGACTATGCTACCTTTTCATGGCTTGCCTTTCCTACTTAACAGTACACTGTGGACATTTGGGCATATATGCACATTGGGTACACATAAAGATTTACCTCATTCTTTTTATCAGCTGCATAATAGAGTTACCTTATAACTGAGCTTTAAATTAGGTAAGTTAAGCTAGGTAACTTAAACCTAAGTTTTTTGTTTTTTTTAAAGAAGAAATCTTGCTGTGTTGCCCAGGGTGGACTTGAACTCCTAGGCTCAAGGGATCCTACCACCTCAGCTTCCCAAGTAGCTGGGACTATAGGTGCTTGCTACCATGCCAGGCTAAACCTAAGTTTTTTTTAACCTATGCTAGTTTTTCTCTTTTAGGACCTATATTGCAATGAACACCCTATCCATTTCCCTGTGCATATGTGTGAATATATCTCTAGTGAAATTCATTAAAGTGACACTGCTAAGTCAAAGGTTATGCATGCTTTGCAGTTGCCTTCTGAAAAGGTGAAACCAATTTATACTTCCATTCAGTGTCTTGGGAGTGTCTGTTTCCTGAACACACATTAACTTCCTATATATTTTTAATCCTAGCTAATCTGATAATAAAAGATAACTTCACACTGTTAGTTTTTAAATATTTTTTTTATTTCTGCACATTATGGGGGAACAAATCTACATGTGTTGCCCTTATTTCCCCCCTCCCCCACCCCAGTTGTCAGAGCTTCAACCATCACACTGTTATTTTAATTTGCATATTTCCATTGGAAATAAGATTGAGCATCTTTTTTTATCATTACTGGCCATTTGTAGTTTTTGTGAATTGCCATTTTAATTAACCAGTATTTAAATTATGTGATTGGTCTTATTAATTTGAAAGAGCTCTTTGTATATTAAGGAAATTGGCACTTTTTCATATAAATAAGAAATACTTTTCACAGACTTTTGTCATTTGGCTTCAAAAATGGCATTTTGCATTGTGCTAATTTTTGACTTTATAGATTCAGATTTATCCCCCTTTTATAGCTTCTAAGATCATAAAATCATTATCCCATATAAATGGGGTAAATTCATTTTCTAATATTCTAAACTCTATTAGAAATTCTAAATTTCTAATATTTTTCTCTAATACCTTCTTACAGCTTTAAAAATACTTTTATGTCTGATTAGCAGTGGAAAAAAATAAAAATACATTTATGGTTTTCTTTTCATATTCAAATCTTCAGTTTATCAGGAAATACACTGTTTATGAGATGAGTTAGGGATTCAGCTTATTTTTCCCCCTGTTGGACCAGTTTCCCCAACATCATTTATAAATAACTGATCTTACCACATCTTTATCCTATACTAAATTTCCACGGGTTTGAATGCATATCTTGGGTATAGAGATGCCCAGGCATACAGACACTGTAGACACAGCAGATAATATTCTGGGAAAACAGGATGCATGGAGTCATAATCAGTACTGTGTTGTGAGTGGTGTTTCCTACTTGTTGACACCTTGAGGCAAAGAATAAAAAGCACTGACAATCTTAGACAATGGGACGCAAGCTCACAAAGAGCACCTATTTCACCTTATGTGCAGGATTTGCTTTTCCTCCTCAGTGACCAGCAATTTATTAAATCACAACCTTTTAGCCAGGGACTCACTTTAATTTCTCATTTAACCTCAGGTATGGCTGGTCTCATAAAAGCTGTTAAGTAATAATAACACTGAGCACTTATATTATACTTCTCATCCCTAAAGTGCTATCTAAACATTAACTAATTAAATGCATTGATGAAAGGAAGGGATTTGCAGAGGTCTCCAGAGAGACTGATATCTGGTTGCACACCTGCGAGGGGATGATTCCTAAAAGGCCTTACCTCCCTCTTTGAATGGCACTCAGCAAGCAGGGGAACAAAAAGCTGGTGACATTATTTCACTTCTGTTGAAAATTTCCTGGGATATCTTCTAATTAGTCTGGTTAAACTCACCTTTTATCTATCTCCCCAGATATTCCCTTTCTACATTCCTGGGGTTATTCAATAAGCTTCTTTTGATGTTTCCCTGTTAGTTAATCACAAAATCATAGAATCTTCAAACTGAAAGAGATCCTTATTGATCGTCTACTTTTGAATGACTTAGCACAATCACTTTATTTTGTAGATGAGGAAACTGAGGCATGGAGAAGTTAAGTGACTTACAAAAAAGGTCATACAGCTCACTGGGGACATAGCTGGGAATAGAAACCAAGATTTCTAGCTCCCATTTCAGATCTCAATCAGCTTCATCCCTTTTTCTCTCTTTGTGAGCATCTGCTATATTTTAACCTTTTTTTAAATTTTTGCTTCCATCTTTTCCCCTCCTCTTCCCTTATTTGCTTTCAGCCTTTTATGTCTCTCCTAACTCTTATGGTTCATTCCCTTACGTGTGCAGGTAATGCTACTTTAGTTTATCCTCTATTTCTCTATCCCTTTAAATGTGGGGTCTTCTGTCATTTTTTGTTAACGTTGGCCTCTCCCCAAGTCCTCTCTGAAAAACTATATTTCTTCAGTTTCTCCTACACACGTGTATATAGAGGGTTGCTTTGTTTTTTCCAGCTGTGGCTGCTTTTCCCTTTAATAAAGTTGCTTCTGTAGTTTTGGTAAATAGCCTAGATTTAAGTTGATGATAAGTCCATTCTTGTCACAAAATTTTGTGTTACTTTAACTTATTAATTTCCCAGTAGTTCAACCAATTAATAAGATACTATACAAGATCATGTCCATATTCAGAAAATTATGTAGGTGTGATCATAAGAAAATTTTTATGCAAGGGCCTTATACAAAAACTAAATGTGTTATCTTCGTATAAGCCAAAGGCAGATCTAGTTCAGATCAAAATTGTGGGTATATATATGCCTGGGCTAATCTAGTATCATGCTTCCGTGTAGACATGGAGGTAGTTTTAGAAATCCTTCATTTCTGCAAGGTGGGCATCCAGTGACTTCAGAATGCCTGGGCTGAACCAAACCCTGGGGCTGTACACTGATCTCAGATGCCCTCAATAGGTGCCCTCTATTTTCTAGAATAGTGAAGGGTGCTTAAGAGAGTCAGGAGTCTTAGCTGGGTGGTCTTAAGCAATTCTCTTTGGGCCTCAGTTTTCTTATATGTTAAATAAGGAAGCTGAGTTAAAACGATTACTTAGTGCTTTTCCTCATTTATTGTTCAATGAGTCAATACTGTCAGAACTATAGCCAAAATGAATAGTAGAGACCTAAATCAGTTTTATTTCAAACATATAGCTAATTAACTCAACAGAGAAGCAAAATTCTTCTGATCACCCATGAGAACTTTCTGGAACTATCTCAATTTAAAATATTTTAATCTATTTTCCCCATAAGTAATATACATGTACCTGTAGCAGACTTTATAGCCTATTTGGGGCTCAGAATATTTGGACCACATTATTGTACTTACTCTTTGCAAATGCTTCATTTTAAGTTCCATCGAGTTCCTTTTACTTAGTGCAGAAGAACTGTCTAAAGTAGGCCCCATTCCGTGTATTTTTCTGAATAAGAAATTTGCATTCATGGATTCATCTCTAACCACTAAAGCAAATTTTTAAAAAAATTTTTTTATATAGATGAGGATCTCACTATGTTGCCCAAGATGGTCTCAAACTCCTAGACTCCAGTGATTCTCCCACCTTGGCCCCTCAGAGTGCTGGGATTACAGGCATGAGCCACCATGGCTGGCCAGAAAATTTAAATTTAAATTCCTTTATCTTTTATTCCCTAAAACTTAGTTTCCAGCAGGAACCAAAATGTAATTTGATAGGAATGATTGATGGCCACTCACAAATCTACCCAATTACATTAAACCCATTAAACCAGATCAAATTATCACATAGCTTCCAAAGTCTAAGTGGAAATTGTCACCTTTGGAAGAGGATCAGATAAGAGCTAATTGGTGGCATCACAATCTACCCTCAGTGAAGTGCTTGATTATCCAAAATCTAAGTCCTGTTAAAACAGTCTCAAAATGGTTAGGGGAGAGTAGGGGCAGCTAGAAAAGCTAGCTAGAAAAGAGACACTTTTGTGTTCATGTACAAACATCCAGCATTGAGCCATAATAAGGAGTTCAAAGGTTAATTATGGAAAAACAAGATTCTAACCAACATTTTAAAGTAGGAATATCCCATGTACTTTCGGTGGCGTGCTTTTTATTTTCTATTTTGAGGGATTTGTGAGTAAGAGGAGTAAAATTTAGAATTGAATGAGGATTCAGAATATTCTCACAGTATGTTAGAGTTTTCAAGCTTGAGCAGAATCCACAAGGCTGTCTTTTCCTAACTTCCCACAACTCACCTGGCCTAGGTCACCAGACTTCACTCCACCCACTGGTTAATGCTGAGAAATGGCACTAGAGACAAAATACAACATTTCATGGTTGTCTGGCCAAGGAAATGCAAACTAAATTATATTGGAAATTATTTCACAATGTGTGACGATTGTGATTCTTGCATTTCCTCAAGTTAGCTTGTTCCTAGTGAGTGGCAGGTGGCTTTGTTCAATGTGAATTGGGTCTTTTGGTTAGACTTTTAGAAAGGAGCCATTTGTCAAGTGCAGCAGCTCTCTTCATCAAAGTATTCCCAACAGTTGTCCAGAAGCTAGATGTAACACAATGGCCGAGGAAGCTTGTTTTGAAATGGAAGGTAACTTGACAAATCAGAGGGAAGGAATTAGCTGATGCATAAGGAAATTCAAAGAGAAAGAGCCTTTTCTTTCTTTTTTCTTGTCCAAGTTACTAGTGCTCTTTCTCCCCCTGTAGATTTTGAATTTTGTGGTGGTGCCAAGGGAGTGAAGGTAACCGACATAAAAGAATCATTTGTACCCTTTTCCCAATCCCACAGATCTCTATTGGCTGCAGACCTTGAACATGACACTGCAATTTCCTGGTGCCACACATGAGTAATAAGCAGCTGTTTCTGAAACTGTGGTTTGGAGAAGGCAGCACTAGGTTATTTTTTAACTTAATTGTAATTTTTGATTGGTCTGCAAGAAAGTAAATCAAATAAAGTCTGTTGTCTTAGTCTGCAAGAAAGCCATAGGCCTCAAATTCCAATGGTGACCATCTTGACCAGAATAGAAGAAGGGGGAAAATATGTGTATCCCTGAGCTGGAAGTTCACCCAGTCAGCTTTCGTGGGCTGCCTTCACACAAGAGGGTAAGCATATTTGGTGTATTTATCAGGGACTGCATGGTGGAAAGTGATATTTGACAGTCCCTCGAGTTCTGGAAGTAGCTGAAATGATAGTGAAAAGAAATTATAGAGAGACTGTAAAAGTGAAAAATAGCAAAATCTGGAAGAAGATAATCAGCTTTATGCTACATTTTACCCTTGTCCTATAGTGTGATAAAATGACATAATTTTAAGTTACAAATGAAGTGTATAGTTTTTGAACACTCAGTCAGTATGACACCTCTGAAATAGTCATATGTACACACTCTCCAAGTAAATAAATCAGACTAGTACCTTCTTTAGTGCAAGAAATTAAATTTAATGGAAAACAGAAACAAACTCTTTAGCCCTGTTTTGGACATCTGCCTTTTCTCAGGGAGATAGGGCAATTTGGTATATGGAGACAAAGGAGGTTGAGTGTAGGGGAGTGAGGCTACAGGAGAAGAGCTACACATGTTTTTTGCTAATTACTTTGTCATGATTTTGTTCACATAGACATGCACTCTGAGGGAAATAAATAGAGATAACTAAAACCTCATCTCAGAGGTCTATTTCACCATCATTCGTGACATATCCAAATGACCTCCTGGGTCATTAACTAAAACCACTAGTCTTTTAATGCTAAAGATGAAATGTCCTTCTGACTTTTGAGGGCTTGTTATAAAGTTATATTAACCTGTGACTAATTTAAGTAAAAGTAGGAAAGGAATAAGAAAGGCAATTTTTAGCTGTTGTTAAAATGTTATCTTACATGAGTGATTCAAATCAAGTTTGAGATGTGTTAAATGTCTTTCCCCCCAGCATTTTGGCCTTAGCAAAACATACTTCTCCCCAGTATATGTATATAAGCCCTGTTCTCTGACTTACAGCAATATCAAAAGAAATTGATCTGACTGGTTTATATTAATTTCTACTGGTCCCATCCAAACAGAAGAACACTTATCTGCCTCTAAAAAATGATATATGAAGGTATGACCTTCATACCTTTTTTCTTTCCCTCTGCCATAAATCTCAAGTGTTTAAAAGGAGGCATGAGTCTCAATCATAGAAAAGTTCTATTTAGATTAAGACAAGCTAATAATATGTTATTATTTATTGATCACTTGCTGTAATCAGATGTCATTATGTTAAATCTGATCCTTCCCTCAACCCTGCAAGGGTAGATATCATCCTCATTTTTCAGTTAAGGAAACTGAGACTCAAAGAAGTTAAGTAACTTGCCAAAGTCTCATAGCTAGAAAATGGGTGAGCTAGAATTTGTCCTCAGATCAGCCCTGCTTTTTCCATTCTATCCCACTGCTTCCCAATATCCAGAGACAACTAAATTCTGATGGGGTGTCAGAAGTTCCATAGGTTCAGCCCTTCTGGGAAACTCCCTAATGAGTTAAGCTACTACCCACTGGAAGAATACCCCAACTTATTGAGAAGCAAAAACTATATCATATTTAGATTTTTTTAAACAACCTTTGGCCAGTTTTATTAAGTTTTATGGTTTACTTTGTCTTAGTCAGTCCTGGCTTGATCTCAGAGGTAGGAGAATCCCTGGATCAACTCTAGCCTGGGTACACAGTTTGTAGGACTTTTCTCCATGCTAGGCCTCTTGAGGACCATTGTCACTCTAGCATGGCACAAGAGTTTAGGGTTGACATAGCAGAGTTCAAATGTCTGACTTTCCTCAGTGTTGTGCACTCGTTGACCATTTGACAACTGGGACAACTAGCTATCCAGAAAAAATATGTGTGTGTGTGTATGTGTGTGTGTGTGTGTGTGTACACATATACTTAAATAAATTTATTATAAGTTGTGCTGATATAAAGGATGTTTAATACACATTTACAAATAAAAACATAATACTTTTTATTGTGAATTCCATATAACAAATGAAAAAAAAAAAGTCCCATTTGACTTTGTCTCACCATAGTCATTTTCCAGATTCAATGGCATCTCAGCAGCTCTTTTCTACTCATCGTAATTGGTTGGAGCCTGAAGGTAGTAGGCTCCTCAGGCTTTGATCTTGCTTGAGGCCACCATTGTCCTAATGTTTGTGGAATATGGTCTTAACTGTCAGCCCCCACCAAGATGGCTAGGAAGTGGGAATGAAAGATGCAAGGTTCTTGGGGTGCTGGAGGGGAGGTGGTGGGAGACAAGACAATTGATTTATTTTTGAGCAATTATCCAAAATAAATGTATATCTGGCTTTTAAAAAGAACCTTAGGAGATATCACACCTGGAGCCAACTTCTTCATAGTGAAGAAACCTCTAGAACGGAAGCCAGAATGTCTGGGTTCTGTTCCCAATGCTGCTAGTAGTTGTATTCAAAGACAAGATTTAAAGCTTTTAAATATATCTTTATCCCTGGAAAATTATAAAGTTTTCCCTTCTATAATATTAAAGGAATGTTTATAAATTCTAAAATAAACTTAAGACTATTACCTCACTTTTCTGGAGGAAAAACGTCTAGTAGCTTCAGCCATTTGGAACATGGCCATGAACCTAAGCTGACAAATGAGAAGAGCTGTTAATCAAGTATAAACAAGAAAAAAGGGTCCCAGAATAGCTGAGCTACCACCAGGTCCATGCACTCTTTATGTCCCTCCCCAAATCACACAGCAGAATGATTGAAAATGTGTATGACACCAAGACAGCCCTAAGATAGGACTGCTGACAGCTAAGGGAGAAGACAGAAAAGTAACCTTGGTCAGTCAACAAGAACTCAAGTGCCTGGCAGAGATGGGATATTTAAAAAAGTATGAGGTCATTGTTACATGGGTGCATATATTTGCAAAATGAATGTGTAAAATGTGTACATTTTATTAAATGCAAAGTATGTCTCAATAAAGTTGATTTTAAAATTAAAAAAAAGAAATATGAGACTCAGTCTTTGCCCTCAAGCAATTTATATTCTCTTAGGTTGCCCCATATAAAATTGCCATGTTTATGGATAAGAATTGTCAAATGTCATCATTTTTAAATATTCAATCCACAATTGGATAAGCAAAACAATCACATATTAAAAGCAAAGAGTAGAAAACAGCACCAAGTTCCATGTTAAATTATGGAAGAGATCTCTGTTACCACAGAGATCTATGGTAGCTGAAGTAACCAAAGATGGCTTTCCAGAACAAACCAGAATAGATGCAAGCCAGGAGGTCTACGTGAAATTTAAATAAGAGTTAAGAAAAGAAGTAAAACTCCAGATAAAGGAAATGATATAGGTGAACACACAGGAACAAAAGCGTGCATATTCTACACAGGGAAAAGTTTGCTTATAACAGAAGATGGATACTGAGAAATGGAAAATGGGTTTGGAAGGATAGTGTGAAATTAACTTGTAAAGATTGCATTTTGCACACCAGTCAAAATATAAGCTCCATTTTGTCTAGTTGACTGTCATATCAAGTATCTGGGACATAGTAACTCAATATAATTTTATGAAATGAAAGAATAAAGAGTTTTGATTAATGATAAAATAAGAATTCACTGAAGTTTTGAGGGAAGAGATGACATGTGATTAAAATGATGTCTAAAACTGATGAATATGTAAGCTAGATAGATCAAAGGAAAAAGATGGGTATCCAGAAATAAAACTAGAGTATTTTGTTGATCTAGAAAAGGATGATGAGAATTCAGGGTAGGATGGAAAAAAGAAACTTACACTGAAGGCATTTAAAAGAGAATCAACATAAACTTTGAAAACTTTTTGCTAAGTGAAATCCTTTGACAAAGGACCACATATTGTATGATTCCATCCATGTGAAATGTCTAGAATAGGCAAATCTATAAAGATAGAAAGTAGATTTGGGGGCTTCAGTGGGGAGGGTAGAAGGGAAAGGGGAAGTGACTACTAATGGGTATGGGTTTTCTGGGGAGGGTTAATGAAATGTTCTAAAATTGATTGTAGTGATGTTGCACAACTCTGAATAAACTAAGAACCATTGAATTGTAGACTTTAGGTGAATTTGCATGGTATGTGGATTATATGTCAATAAAGCTATTATTTAAAAAGAGAGAAGAGGAGCCAATCAAACATGGTGAATGACAGGATATATGTGTTTTGTGGAGAAAATAAGTCACTCACTATAAACTCCATAATTTCCAGTTTGATTCTCATTGAAATAATAAGAATGGCCACTAACACCATTATTATTTAATATTGTTTCAGGAGCCCTGGACAATGCAATAAGACATGAAACATAAACAAGAAGCATAATATTAGAAAGAAAGAAACCAGTTAATTACTTTCAGAACACCTAAAAGAATCATTTAAAAATGATTAGCATTGATGAAAATTAAGTAATAGGGTCATATGTAAGATGTCCACAAATGTCAGTATATTCTAATATACCAGCAAGAGCTAATAAGGAAAATGTTATACAAAAGTTTACCCTTAAAATAACCTAAATAATAAATGTGAGTAGATTATGCAAGAAAAAAAAACAAATTTTTATTAAGCAATAACAAAGATGTAATAAAATGGAGATATGTATCACATTCTTTGATAAGAAGACTAAATATTATAAAGATATCAATCCCTGAAGCTTATTAAAGTCCCTACTTAAGAATAAGTGTACATTGCTGGCAGTGTAAATTTGGTGAAATATTTCAAGAGCCTTCAAAATGTTCATATTCTTTGTCCTAGGAAATCATCTAGTTAGAGAAAAAGCTTTATGCAAAGATACTCAGGCTTCTCCTTTAGATCCTGGATAGTAATTCTCATGTCTTCCTCAAGGTCTTCTTTTCTCATTCCCAGTTTCTTCAAACAACTTTTACTCACCTGGTTTCCAGGCTGTTCTATATCCTGGTTGTTTTCCCCTAAATGAGCTATAGCTTGTTAGTTCCTCTCTTTAAATGTGTCATTAGCCTTGATTGTTTAGGGAAGAGTAAAATGAGGAAAACCAAACTCAACTAAAGTATTATCACCACAACTTAGAAACAACCCCATGGCACATTGGAAAGTGTTTACTTGTGGTTGGATATATGATTTGATAGTGGTTATTTCTTAGAAAGTATGTGTCATGGGTTGGTATTAGGAGCATGCCTTACTGGGGGTTATTGGAGTTAATGGTCTCTCAGAGAACATAAATAAAATGTGGTCTCTCTATGGCTTCCTAAAGGTAGTGGAGAGAGGAGAGTAAGTTGAAGAATGGTGGAAAATGTACTTGTTTGACTGAAAAAACAGCCAGGATGATTTCTACCCCCTTTACTAAGAAAAAAAACCCCACTCTTACAGAGAGTAAACCTGATTTTTCTGTTCATCTTCTGCAGTTGAATGCAAAATTAATATACATTGTTTTTTAAATGCAAAAACACAACTGTATACAAAGTGACAGATGTGCTCATCTGACTTGTTCCCCTCCCTAGAATTAACCACTGTTATATTTATTTCTAAAATATTGTGGGATTGTTCCATAATGTTTAAAAACCACCTCAGGTTTTTAATCTCCAGTATTATATATAGCTTAAGTTTTTACAAAAGACATGATTATATTCTTTGTAGTCTTTTATTTTTGTATTACCAGTCACTACTACCTACTCACCTAGACATTGTAATTTCTTTTTAGGTATGATTTACTATTTTTCTCTTTGATGTTATTTTTATGTAAAATTATAATTTTAACTATGTATTCATTGGAAAGAAAGTATCCAGCTATTTCCAGTTATTTCCAGCTATTTACAAATTAAATTTAATCTTCAATTTTTTTTTCCTTATATCAAAATCGGCATGTGTATGTAGATGCATTAATGAGAGTGAAGTAAAGGCAGATTTTATCTTCTTAGTGTGTGAAATGCTGAAGTATTTGAAGCCCCTGGCTCTCAGTTGAGTGAGGAGGGTTCTGACCGACCTTGGGTTCCAGACTCATGGAAGTGTGTCCAGCAACAGGTCGGGTAACTGTGGGAGGCAGGAAGATGCAAGACACCCGAGCCTGGTGGGTGCAGTGGTCCAGTGGAGAGAGCACGTGCCTCCTTGAGAACAAGCAGCCCCTACACAGGGCCAGGAGAATAATCATGTTCAGGCCTAGCTTTGCTAGATCTTCTAATTTTTCAAAAGAACCCAAAAAGTCTGGATTTTAATGTGAAATCTCCCAATTTTTAAATTGGCTCATTTTTGTTTAACACTATGAGTTTTTTGGAAACAAAAATCTACAGGCTGAAAATGGCCCTCAGACTGCCAAATTACAACTTCTTTATATTATACATACCAGTGGCAAAAGAAACCCACGTTTCCACATTTGCTATGTGTTCTTGGGGGAGATGATAAAAAAATCTATCCCATTAATTCATCTAAGAAAAAGATATTACTGAATTTACAACATAAACTTATGTGTTCATATTTACTATGTATATTTTCAATTATTTTGGAAAACCTGCAACACTCTTCTTACATGACATCGTAACTATAAAGTTGGTCTATGAAAATAGGGTTCCCCATTTTTTTGTCCTCAGTGCCCTATACCACACTATAAATAAAGAGGAATACAAAAGAAATTTCAACATCTTCATTTTCCAACCTCTAGTGGTTAAACCAGAACGTTCTTTTGGAGCAAAAACACTATGTCTTTTCTTCCTCAGAGTTGCTGAGAAATTATAATTAGAGGTTTTCCTGTTGTGTAAAGGAAAGGAATTCCTTTGCTTTCCTGTGTCTGCAAGACTTCTGTTCTCAATGAATTTGCTTCCCTGTCCAATTTCTCTTTCTGCAGGTGATAGAGGGAAAGCTGGCTCCATTCTTGGGCAAGGTCATTAAATTTGCCACTGCACATGTGTACAGCTGCAGTCTTTGTAGCCAGAAGGGGTTCATCTGCGAAATCTGTAACAATGGAGAGATCCTCTACCCTTTTGAGGATATTTCAACGAGCAGGTACCGTCTTATAAAAGAATATCTGAATATGTCGCATGCCGTCTTATTTGGCCAGCTCAGGCCAACTTTTAGTCAAGTACTGTATCTCTCTGTCTCTTACCCTGGATCAGGTTTCTTTTTTTCCTGGAGAACATTTTTTACCCTTTGGTTTTCTATATTTATTTTCAACCCTTACCTCGCTACCTTTATCCAGAATGAGATAACAGAGTTGCAAAGAAACGTCGCCTAACTCTGCCTTATTAGGTAACAAAGAGTGTTCAGATTCATTTTTAGAATGAAGATTGGGGAGGAAGAATCCTCACCACCTTTTCAGGGCCAAGTGATAGGGAATGGGAAGTTGCAGCCTCAGAGGAGGCCAAAACCAGACCGAGCGTTAGGAGAAAAATTGGAGATGCTGGTGAACAGCTGTCTGCCTTGCCACATGCTTCTTTCTGCAGCGGCAAGGAAAGTTTTAGGATTCAAAGGAGAGAAAAGTAGAGTTTATGTGGGATTATTTTTCTAACCAAAGTAATATTTGAACATCATCACATCCTTTGATTGATGGATGATTTTTTCTCCCATAACATGAGATCAGAGTTTTTACTGTTGCTTTTCTTGACTCACAAAATGATACATATCACTTTTCCTTTCATTCCCAAAGCATAATAGAAATATACAGTCTATGTATGGGTGTGTGTATGTGCACTGGCTGCTTTGGGCATGAATGTCATGGCTCATTTCCCGCCCTGCAGTGCTTACTTACACTGTGGTTCAGAATAGAAGGTGAGGCATGTAGCCAGGGAGAGTTGAAGTATGTAGGGTAGAGCTAAGACATTAAGAGTTGACTAAGCCCTTTTGGCCTCTTCTTAACCCTAAAGACTATTTGTAAACATCCAGAAACTTGGGTTGGTCCCACACACAGAAAAACAGACACATAGACACAGTCATACAGACACACACACACACACACACACACACACACACACACAGAGTCCAGCCTCCAGTTTCCTGAGTACAAATACTTAGCTCATACCCTAGAGATTAGATACCTCTTAAAAATGCACACAACATAAACTCTTGTCCACAGATATTTATAGCAGCACTATTCACAATAGCTAAGAAGTGGGAACAACCTAAGTATCTATCAGCTGATGAGTAGATAAACAAAATGTGGCATATCCAAACAATGGAATATTATTCAGCCATAAAAAGGAATAAAATACTGATAAATGCTGTAACATGTATTAATTTTGAAAACATGCTAAGTGTAGGAAGCCAGACACACAAAACCCATAAAAGATTAGAATCTTTTATGATTCTAATTATATAAAATGTCCAAAATAGGCAAATCCGTAGAGACAGAAAGTATTAGTAGATTAGTATTTGTCTGGGACTTAGGGGAAGGAAGAAAGGAGTAACTACTAATGGGTACAGGTTTCTTTCTGGGGTGATAAAAATGTTGTGGAATTAGATTGTATTGATAGTTACATGATCTTGTGAGACTGAAGCTCTACCAAATATGTTCTCTCGCACATTCAATTAAAGATCCACAGTAGAAAAAAATCTGGGAAACCCTAAAACATTTGGAAATTAAACAATATGCTTCTAAATAACTGATGGGTCAAAGAAGAAATCACAAGTGAAATTTTAAAAATATTTTTAAATGAATGAAAATGAAATATAAAATATATGAAATGCAGCTAAATATACTTAGAGTGGCATTGATAGCTATATGAGTACCTATCTCAAGAAAGAAGAAAGTGCTCACATCAATAACCTTAAATTCTACCTTAAGAAACTAGATAGAGAAGAACAAATTAAACCCAAAGCAAGCAGAAGAAAGGAGTGAATAAGGATTAGAGCAGATATCAGTGAAATAGAAAACAGAAAAACCACAAGTTGATTTTTTTGAAAGATCAAAAAAGTTAAAAGAGAAGATGCAATCTGCCAAAATGAGAAAGGAAAAAGGGTACAGAAATTAAAAGAATTATAAAGGAGTATGATAAATCTATGACAGCAAAGGGACAATTTAGGTAAAATGGACAAATTTCTAGAAAGACTAATTACCAAAACTGACCCAAGAAGAAACAGAGCCAGGCACAGTGGTGTGTGCCTGTAGTCCCAGCTACTTTGGAGGCTGAGGTGGGAGGATTGCTTGCACTTAGGAGTTTGAGTCCAGGCTGGGCAACACAGTGAGACCCTGTCTCTAAAAAAAGAAGAAGAAATAGAAATATGAATAGACCTATAACAAGTAAAGAAATTGAATTAGTAATTTTAAATCTTCCCACAATAGAAGCCACGGGGCTTCACCAGTGAATTTTATGGAATAGTTAAAGAAATAATAAAATCCTTAACACAAGGATTAAGAGGAGTCAATTCTCCAAAAAGATATAACAATTCTTAATGTTTATGAACAGAAAGTTGAAATATATGAGGCACAAACTGATAGAACTGAAAGGAGAAATGGGTAAGTTCACTATTAGGGACTTCAACACCCTTCTTCTATCCATAACTGACAAATCCAGCCGGCAGAAAATCAGTAAACATAGTAAAAAACCAAACAGAGTACTGTCAATCAGCTGGATCTAATTGACATCCACAGACTCCTCCACCAACAACAGAGTACACGTTCTTCTCAAGCTTCCATGGGACATTTACCAAGGGAGAACACATTCAGGGCCATAAAACGTATCTGAACAAATTTAAAAGAATAGAAATCATGCAAAGTATGCTCTCAGACCATAATAAAATTAAGCTAGAAATCAATGACAGAAAGATACCTGGAAGATCCTGAAATATTTGGAAATTGAACAAAGTACTTCTAAATAACATAAGTTGATAACTATGTTCACACAAAAACATGCACAGGACTGTGGCAGCTTTATTCATTATTGCCAAAAACTGGAAGCAGCCAAGATGTCCTTCAATAGGTGAATGGATAAACAAAATGTGGCAGAGCCATACAATGGAATATTATTCAGCAATAAAAGAAATGAGCTATTGGGCCACAAAAGGACATGGAGGAAACTTAAATGCATATTGCAGGCTGAGTGCATTGGTTCACACCTATAATCTTAGCACTCTGGAAGGCTGAGACAGGAGAATTGCTTGAGCTGAGGAGTTTGAGACCAGCTTGAGCAAGAGTGCGATCCTGTCTCTACTAAAAATAGAAAATTTAGCCAAGGCGTGGTACCTGCCTATAGTTCCAGCTACTTGGGTGGCTGAAGTAGAAGGATTGCTTGAGCCCAGGAGTTTGAGGTTGCTGTGAGCTATGATGACGCCACTGCGCTCTACCTGGAGTGACAGAGCAAGGCTCCGTCTCAAAAAAAAAAAAAAAAGTATACTGCAAGTGAAAGAAGCCATTCTGAAAAGGCTGCATACTGTATGATTCGACATTCTGAAAAAGACAAAACTATACAGATGTGAAAAGATCAGTGGTTGCCAGGTATTCAGGGGCTGAGGAGGGATGACTAGATGACACATAGGAGATTTTTAGGGCTATGAAACTATTTCATATAATACTCTAGTGATGCATACATGACATGATGCATTTATCAGAACCCTTAGAACTATACAACAGAGTGAACCTTAATTTAAACGGTAGATTTCAATTAATAATGATGTGTCAGTATTGGTTCATTAATTGTGCAAGTGTAGCACACTAATGCAACATGGTAACAGGGAAAATGTGGCAAGTGCAGGGCAGGGAATATGGGAACTCTACTCAATTTTTCTATAAATCTAAAACTGTTATAAAAAAATGAAGTCTACTAAAATAAAAAATTCATCCAACTGAACAGTTGACTCTATCATCAAAGCTGAACAGACAATTTATTGGAATAATGTTACATTTGCCATGGCAATAGTACAGAGAGTTCCCATATACACACACAACCGGTTTCCCCTATTATTAATGTCTTACCTTAGTGTGGTATAGTTCTCACAATTAATTAACCAATCGCAGTACATTCTTAGCTAGAGTCCGTGGTTTTTTCAGATTTCCTTAGTTTTTACCTAATACCGTTTTCCTGTTTCCAAGTACCACATTATGTTTAGTTTTCACATCTCCCTAGCACTTCTGACAGTTTCTCAGACTTGACTTGTTTTTTGATGACCTTGATAGTTTTGAGGAATATTCATCAAATATTTCATAGAATCTACCTGTTGGGATTTGGCTGATATCTGTCTTATGATTAGACTGGGTCTCATGGGTTTGGGGAGGAAGGCCATGGAAGTAAAGTGCCACTCTCATCACATCGTATCACAGGTACAGACTATCAACATGACTCATCACTGAAGTGTTTGTGTCAGGTTTCTCCACTGTAAAGTTACTCTTCTTCTCTCTCTTTCCATACTGTACCCTTTGAAGAAAGTCACTATGTGCAGTCCACACTTAAGGAGTGGGGAGTTATGTTCCGCCCCTTGGGAGAAAAGTATGTGCAAAATTATTTGGAATCCTTCTGCATGGGAGGTTTTCTTCTTCCCCATTTATTTATTTTTTCAATTGTTTATTCATATCAGTATAGACTTATATATAGTTATTTTATATTTTGGGTTATAGTCCAATAATACTTCATTTTATTGCTCCAACTGTTCCAACTTTGGCCATTCAAACTCTCAGTTGGCTCTTTCATCCTTTTGACATACTCCAGTTATAATATGATCAGGTTTTTCTTTGGGGTTTTTGTTTTGTTTTGTTTTTTCTTTAGCATTTTCTTACTTTCTGGCACTACTAGATGCTCCAGGCTCATCATATATTTCCTGCCCTAATCCTAGAAGCAGCCATCTGTCCAAGGAGCCCTGGTTCCTTTTATTGGAGAATGATATTAGGAACCAAGATCTGGACAC